ATATACTTACACTAAATTAAGTAGATATCCTTTCAACTAGCAATAAATAATTAAGTTCAGAAATCTCGAATAAGTGTATAAAATACACTTGTAACATAGCCCTAAACTTAAACTCTTGTTTGTTCTAAGCAAGATTATCTACATAAAATACAAGCAAACAAACATGGATATCAATTCATTAGATAACTTGCCATATTCACATCAAGTATTGAAACTATTTGATAATTCAAAAAAGGTTAATAAGTAATGCTACCAAAACTATTTTTCACTTATTCAATGCCCGATCGATGTACGTATATATGCACTATTAATTTAATCATGGTAATTATTTAAGTTTGTTATTTTTTGACCTTCAATGGTCAAATATTTCATTTCTCTCTTCTAACCTGCACACGTCAAATTTATTTTTCAATATCTAATCCACGGCGCTTAATCGAGGATTGATTTCACAATACTCATTAGATCAAGTTTGATTTGATTTCACAAAATAAAAGTAACTATCTCAATATTATATGATATATGATATAATTTTCCGCTACTTCAACAAAATTTTTTATTTCCCTTTTGTTCATTATGCAAGTGCTTCTATTTTTTGGATCTTTTCTTTGATTTTCAAATGTTCTTTGATGAATAAGGTTTGATTACTCGAAATTAAATCCACACTAGAATGTATGTAACTTTTTTCACATGGTGCAATATCTTTTATTGGACGAGTAATTGGAATCAAACCCTAGTGTAAGATTACTACCTAAGTTCCACTTGTTTCACTAAGTACGAATCAACACCAGTTTAAATAGCTCCCAACACCATATCAGTCATCCCCAAACTAATCAATATTTCAACAGATTATGTGTTTATGTTTTCAATTTGATCTTATTTTGACAATCTAAGTCCATTCAACATATTCTATCAATGTACTCAATCCAAAAATATATAACGATTATCATGACTATTATGTTCAAAATATTTCAATCTCACATGGACAAGTATCAAATCAGCAAAAATTTCATCGCCCAGTTACAATTGATGCATCATAAACAATTTCAAACACTCATCAATTAGCGAGTGTTTGTCACTTGCTTCGCTTCATTCCCTAGAAAAAAAGTAGACCTGTTGAAAAGAAAAAGAAAAAGAAAAAGAAGAATTTAAACTAAAGTTAGAATTAACTAATTAATACAATATCTCCCAACAATGGCGCCAAAAATCTATTGCGTTAAACTCCTGCAAGTGGACGGTATCATAAATAGGTAAGAAAGTGGATATGGACTAAATATCTAATCTAGTTCCAATTAACCCTACTCTAATCAAACAATACAATCAAGGTAAGTTGGAGTATTTCTATCAACAGCCTAAACCTATAACTAATCTAAGTATCTAACTAAATTAACTAGAAGATTGGAAAGTGTTTATGAAACTCAATTAATTGATCGAACATCTAGGACTTCGAATCCCCTTACATTTTTTTCATCTTAAATTAGATTCCATTATCTCAACCTCTTCCTCTTCATCTTTTCGAAGAAGAAGATTCATATTATATTTTCTTTTCTTAATATGATCTTATATCGATCTGTATTCCTCTTTCATGGTAGTTGCCTCTTCCTCTTCCATGAGAGATGTTTTGACCATCATATTTCATAGAAACTGGAGTTTTGAATGCATTCTCTATGGGAGAATATTATATCATTGGATTGTAGAGATCCGAGCAAAATTTTCCCCGAAATTGTTAACAAATCTTTTGATTCTTCAAATGCAACAAAGAGACATAATATTTCGAGTCAAACTTCTAAGGATCTCAATTGATTGTCTCTCCGTTCACTCTCAATTGATTGTCAAACTCAATTTTTACTTTGTTTTCTCCTCTACATGAATCATGGAAAGTGTCCCATTTTTGCTTAACTGAAGTTGATTTAGAAATCCTCTAAATACAGCTGTATTCACCACTTGATACATGAAATACAAAGCTTTCTTGTCCTTCTACCAAGTTTGTTTCAACTTATGTACTTTTTGAGTTGTGAGGTGCAGCATTTTCGAGTTCCACAAACTCATGTGCTATGATATCTCATAAATCTCCAGATTCATATAGGACAATCATTTTAATGCTCCATTGATGTAATTCTTTTTGTCGAAAAAGGGATGATGTGGCTACAACATGTTGTTCGATGCCATGACTTCGCTTGTAACAAAGTACTGGTTCTGATACGACTTTGAAAAATATCAAGAAAAGTATATTATTGACAATGTTAATAAAGAAAATGAGATAGGAAGTGATGAATATAAACTTCCTTTTTGTTGATGATGTATTATTTGAAATAACAATTTTGGAAAATTTATACGAAGATTTTTCGACCTTTAGAATGCAAATACAGAGGACCTTAATAAATTCTATACAAATAACTAAGTATATGAATAATATAATTCATGAATAATAATACTAAGTATATGAAATAGAATATTCTTAAACCATGACATATAGGACTCAGATATAGGGTTGACCAAAAATCAGTCCAAACCGCTCAAATCAACCAACCCGACCCGACCCAAATCGATTGGTTTGTGCTTTTTTTTTAAGTTCAGTTGAGTTGGGTTGAATTGAAAAATAAAATTTGAGATCGGATTGAGTTGGGTCTCGAGTTATGGATTAAGATCAAATCCAACTCAGCCCAATAAATTAAAAAAATTAATACTAAAGATGGAAAAGCCTAACTAGATGCAATAGTAGGGACAAGAGAAGGACTTTGAATGTACAAACGTCCATTTTCTACATAGGCTGATTGACATGAATACTATATACAAATGCAAAATAATTTGATGATAAACTAAAAATTAAAGATGTGATAATGAAATGAATAAATCCCCCAAAAAAAAAAATTATAAAAAGAAATGCTCGATAGTTTCAAATTCATTTATACATTATTTTTCATAAAAAATTCCTTAAATAGGTTAAAAACAACAAAGATTTTCAAGTGATTTCAAATTTTAAAAAATTGTCCAAATTAAATAAAAAATAATCGGATCCAACTTGATATGGGCTCAAGCCCAAATTGATCAACCCAACCCAAACCTACCCAAGTTCAACGAAAACCACTAATATTACGCTCTCTTCCTTCATATACTGACTAGGTTGGTATTCAAGACAATCGTACTTCCACCTCTACCTACATTTTTGTACCTTGGTGGAATTCCAATTTCATGGTGTTCCAAAAAGTAAAAATTGTGGCACATGCCCAACAAATGTTGACTATTGTGCTTTTGCTACATTTGATGAGAGAAAAAGACATACAGCATATTCATTTTACTATTCAATGAGGATAATAACCTGGGGTGTGTGTAGTAATTTAAATGTGTCTCTAACCAATAGGGATGAAAATTCCCTTTGTTACTTAGTGAAATAGCGAAAGGTCGAATTAGCATTCAACAAGTTAGAATATATAGCATCCATAAGACTCTGTGGCCCAAACCCTACTAAAATACATGATGAGCTTCAGTTATAAGTTCACCACTAAAAAAATCAGAAATGGAAGACTTTCACCTACGAAAATCGCCAACAGAATTTTCCGTGCCTAATGTTATTGTTTAATATGTGCACCATTTACCAACTATATTTCCGTTGGTGATGCAATTCAACTTTTAAAAAAAAAAAGCGTCAACTTTTCAACTTGGAATTTCCGTGCCTAATGTTATAGTTTAATATGTGCACAATTTACCAACTATATTTCCGTTGGTGATTCAATTCAACTTTAAAAAAAAAATAAAGCGTCAACTTTTCACTTGAAATTATTCCTTAGGTGAAGAATAGTTTAAATTACCTAATCAATTCTAATAATTAAAAAAAATCCAACCATTCACCTACGGAATATCCATAGTTGAATTAGGGTAATCAATTCGGTTGAAGTTCTATAGGCTCGCAATCTCTTGCAAGAGCGTGGGCCCAGTTCCCTACGTGACCCACTATTTTTTGTGATGGCATTGGTGATACTTAAATTTGTATTTCACTGTGTTATCTTGTACTCAGCTACATATTGTAATCTCAGTTAAAGAAATGATAAATAGAAAATATTTTCAATTCTCCTCCTTGTACCTATAAAAATATTCAAAATATTTGACATTCCTGCTTGAATTTTTAAAATAAATCCCTATTTCGATGTAACATCAAGAATAATGTCTGAAATTTTTGAATAAATATCATCTAAAAACCATTATTTCAAAGGAATAATAATTGCATACGTGAAAGTAATTCAAGAATTGCATGTAGATTGATATTCTTAGTATAGCGTTATCTTCTTCTGAAAGGGTGCCAACGTTGATTTCAAGAAATTCGGTTGTAAACTATTCAACAATATTCACAATTTTGCTTAAGAATTTCGTTATTGAAATTCAACAACAAACAACCTTAGAATGCTATTGTCGTACTCCATGTAATGAATCTATCCATATCTGTGTATCAGTTTTTTTGCTGCACGTATCAATCCCATTTTTCGCGTTAGGGAAGTTGTACCAAAATTACCTCTATTTCTTTAATCTCCAGACATCATACTTCAGAAACACGTGTACTCGTGTCCCCTCCACGAAGAGAGAAGTCTAGAGAGAGAGAGAGAGAGAGAAGCTTGAAGGTGTGGTAATGGTGATTGCTGTGGGCTATGATTAAATTACAAACTGAAGAAAATGTGAATAAATTGTTGGTTAACATAAGGTGGAGTGGGAAACGGATTGGAGGGGGACCTTGAAGAGGGCAGAGAAAGGGACATATGGTCTTCTTGTGTTTGACTCTGTCTTATCTTTTTCGATGCACTTTTCTTCACTCACAAGGTAATCATCATATGTGTATGAGAATACAAACATATTTTGCTTCCACTTCACATAATCCATCTTACAATTTCTCTCTCTTTCTCATTATGTTCTATATAGCTTCGTGTCACAGTCTCCATCAGCCCACTTGGAACAAGAAAATAAACTAGCCCTTCTGTTTTTTCCCCATTATTTGAAATAATAATTCTGGGAAAATGAGGAAGCCTGGAGATCAAATGGTGAAAGAAAAATTGAATAACAGTAAGGCTAAATTGAGGAAGGGATTGTGGTCACCCGAAGAGGATGAGAAACTAATGAATTACATGTTGACAAATGGACAAGGTTGCTGGAGTGATATTGCGAGGAATGCCGGATTACAGAGGTGCGGGAAGAGTTGCAGGCTTCGATGGATTAATTATTTGAGACCTGACCTTAAACGTGGCGCGTTTTCTCCTCAGGAAGAAGAACTTATCATTCATTTGCATTCCATTCTTGGCAATAGGTACATTCCCACTCTCTATAGATATGTGTCTGTGTGTGGATAATCTTGATCTGTGAGCACTTATGAAACCAACGAAGCTGCAAAAAATTACAGAGTTATTTAGCACTTCTGCTAAAGGTGAAAAATGTACAGACGGGAGATCTAAGATTTAATTTACATTGAAGATCTTATCATTAAACATTGGTTTATTTTCTAATGATATTTGAATCTTTAGTTTTCCAAATGTTTTAGAACTTTTCAATTCTAGGGTAACTTAAATATATTATGGTAATATTGGTTTTACAACAATTCAAATAAATAATAATAATATTTATTTTAATCTCTTGTGAGAATTAAGCTCCTGTATGATGGTAATTATTTGGCAAAACAATGTTTTGAATAGTAATTTTTTTTTTTTTTGAGAATGTATGATTAAAAAGTAGAAAAAAGCTTTTGGCTTACGAACAGAATATTTTATTGTGTGAATGTATAGTTGAAAGTGAGTACGTAGAATAAAGGATTTTGAGAAAAAAGACAATCAAACAAGAGTGTAAGAATGAAGAGACATCTTCTGCATGTTGCATGATTTAGTGTTTGCTTGATAAAACTTTGTTAAAATTTTATCAACTTTTAGCTTGTCAAATTTTAATTTTAGCATACATTTTATGAGATTTACAACTTTTTAACTATACATTTCATCAACTTTTATCAAAACTTGCAAAATCTTTTATCAAAAGCTTTCACACAATCCCTCATAAAGAAATAACTTCTCTTATTAAGAGGGCGTTTAGTGAGGATTAAAATTAGATTTTTAGTAGATTGTGATAGAAGTTTTTTAAATATGTGGTTGAAAAGTTGTGGGATCTATGAAAGATGTGGTTAATATTGATTGTTTGACTTTGATCTAAATTAAAATCTGATTTTAATCCGTACCAAACATGACCTAAATCAAAATTGGACGAATAATCTATAAAAAATGGAATTATGACAAAATTACTTTCCTTCGTACACCTTCGTGCCCATAACTTGTAGATTAAGATGAACTTAGGAGAAATATTTCCTTCTGTGTTGTGGAGTTAATTAGGCCTCCATGCAAAACCATGCATGCATTTTACAATTGAACTTTGCAATTGAGTCAGTTATTCTGTATTCTTTCAGGGTTCTTGGCTAATTAATTAACTAGAGAAATGGATTTTTAACCTGATAAACTGTTACACCTTAATTTGGAAGTACAGTTAACATATGTTTTCTAACATTTTCCCAACTTTATATAAGGTGGTCTCAAATTGCGGCACGTATACCAGGAAGGACAGACAATGAAATAAAGAATTTTTGGAATTCCACAGTGAAGAAGAGGTTGAAAAATAGTAACAATAATTCAACATCCTCCCAAAACAACAGTGACTCAGTATCAGAGCCTACGGGTGCTGTCATGCAAGGACTAATGCCAATGCACGAATATGATGTTACAACAATGTACATGGATTCGTCGTCATCCTCATCTTCCTCCATGGAAGCCATGGTCATGAAAAGCCAGTTCAACCCTTTTCCTCCAATGGTCAACAATTTCGACCTCATAAATGGTACCGTAGTCGGTTCATTCGATTTCTCGACATGCTTAGAACAAGTTGATATGTCAAATAGGGGATTTGAGCAGGAATATGGAGTCATGGAACCTTATGTTATGGGATTAGAAAATGACCTTTCTGTCCCTGCATTAGAGGGTAAAGGGACTGAGCCTAATAGTGCTGTATATGACTATATTTTTGACACCGAAGCGAACATCAACGGCCAATTGAATAATAGTACTAAAAGCATCAAAGTNCCCCCCCACACACACACACATTTTTCTCCCTCTTTCTCTTTCTTACACTATAATCTTGATATTTTTCGTTACCATTTTTCATAAAACATTTTGAGATATCCGTCTTGAAAATACTCAATTTTTTCGACTTTAAAATACTTTGTCTATTGCAAATTTTCCTTCGTCTCAATCCCGTGAAATAAATTCTTGGTGATGTTAGGTGGAAGTGCATTTGACGGCAGAGACATTTATTCAATCACTTTCTGCTAACTAAAATGAATTAATCTTTCTTGTGAAGCAAAATGTGCATAGTGAATGGCAGTTGAGGCGAAGAAAAAATAAAGAGTTATCTGTTCAATTGTATACGTAGGCTTATGTTTATGTGTAAATGAAATAATATGTAAAATGAAAATACTTTTAGTATAGAATATTGTACTTACAAACAGAAGTTGTCAGTACCAATTAAATTGAGTTGATTAGATTTTCTTTTTTCTTTTTTTTTTCCCCCTATCAATATTATGAAATTCTCTCTCTCTCTCTCTCTCTCTCTCTCTCAAGATTTTTATTTTTAGCTAAAAGAATATTTTTCAGTCTTTCGTAATAATGTTCAAATATAATTATGTATATGTTATTCACATACAATTGAGAACAATAATTGCTTTGTAAATAATCAACAAATTAATGCAAATAAATAATTTCATAAGTATTATTAAAAAAGAAATGCATTAAATGAACAGGTCAAGTATTAAAAAATACATAATTTTCTCGATTGAGTTCGTTTTCTATTTATAATTTGTAATTATTTATCTATATTTAAAATTTTAAAGTTCTTATACTTGTAACATTTATATAATATGTTAAATTCAAGCATTTAAAGTATTCTTATCATAATGGTAAATAACAAAGTTGGCATCGAATAAAGATTCAAAATTTAGGTTCCTTTTTTCTAGTCAAGTTTTGGATCGATATTATTATTATTATTATTATTATTATTATTATTAAGTAAAATATTTAATGTTTATGAATATTATTGAGATGTAATTATTTGTGCAAAAATGAGAAAAAAAAAATTCTTATTTAAATTATAAAAGAAAAAGAAGCTACTTTAAAAAGAAGTAAAATAGGGAAAAAAAAGTTTATATTTTCTTATAGTTGAGGTTTAATGTATTTGTATAAGGCAAACAGTCTCAGTGTCATAATCAGAGTATCACAATGGTGTGTAGAGTACAATTTGTTAAGCATATATATACTTCACAAATTATAATACTTTATTTGTTGATTTACACAAAAATATAGCATATATATATTGATCTCTATAACTTCGCAAGTGTATGTTATCGTAATCAATTGATAAAGTGTTAATAAAATATCACTCCCACGAGGAGCATGCACTAATTCGATATTAATTAGTATATTAACTCAAAAGCAGAATACAATTGGTTGATTTTATAACTAATTAACCCAAAATTATATATAAACTAAACTAATTAGTAATCTCTCTCAAGTAGAACTAAATATATTCACACATATAAACATATGGTATCTTTATGAAGATTGCAAAATGACATTCAATTAAACCATGCAAGGCATAACAATTATGAATTAAGTCAAATGAACATAATGCTTGATATAGAGGTTGACCGACCACTCACATTGCATGTGGGTCCCGACCTGAATTAAATAATGCCGACCTCCACATGTGTGTGTGTTGTGTCATCCTCTATGCCAAGGATTATGTTTGTGTAGCAAAACTAAACAATTATATATCTATCAGCTATCAGACCCTACAAGGATTGTAATTATGTGCTAAAGCATCTATAGTCAAAATATCAAGTGAAATTAAAACATCATAATAAAGTGTTAATCTTCATCCTAGTGATTAAAAATTAGCCCAAAATTGTAGAGTTACAAAACTACATATTTGAATGTTGAGACATCACCCGAATTTTGATTTTAAGCAAAAAAAAAAAAGGGTTTTGAATCCTTGAATCTCTTCGTTCTTCTTGAATAATCTCCATTAGCCTGCTTCTTCTTCACCCAAAATTCAAGCAATAAGCTTTAATTCCTGTGTAGAAATATGTATTGTCGTATTTTGCATGTTATTTTCTCTCTGAAGCTTGATCCTTGAAATTTTACCTCCAAAGTAGGTAAAAAAACGAGTCTCAATTGCATTCCATATATAGTTTAAGTTTAAAAAGAAAATAAAATACTTTTTGTCCAAATGAACCATGTGATCGCATGGTTATAGCCAATCACATGGCTATGCTAAGTTGCCAATTATTTTTACTTAGGTACCTCTTTTTTTTTTTTTTTAGCCAATCACTGTCTCAAACCCTTATAAGTTGGTCTATATTTTCATCTTTATTCGATATTGAATTTTATCCCTTAGCATACTTTCGAAAGATGGTGGCTCGTTTGAGCATATCAATCTTGAAATTTCTGTGCTCATTTTTTGAGTTTTAATCGAATCAAATTGTTTGTTGGAGTTTAATGGAGTTTGATACCATGTTAAGCCTTGAAATTCTATCTTAAAAGATCGACCTTATTAAGAGAAGTAACTCAAACCCTTATAAGTTGGTCAAAATTTTCATCTTTATTCGATAATTTTATCCCTTAACATGTCAATACAAGATGGTGGCTCGTTTGAGCATATCAATCTTGAAATTTGCGTGCTCATTTTTTGAATCATAATCGGTTCGAATTTCTCATTAGAGTTTAATTGGCTCTGATACTTTATTAAGATTTGAGACTCCATATCAAAAGACCAACTTTATTAAGAGCAATAGTCCAAACCTTTATAACTTGGTCTATATTTTCAATTTTTTTCGATATGAGATTTATATGCCTCCACAAAATAGTAGCTCATTTGAGCATATCAATTTTAAAATTCGTGTGCTCATTTTTTTAGTTTTAATCAGATCGAATTGCTTATTGGAGTTTAATGTGTTTTGATATTATATTAAGAATTGAGGTTTTATCTTAAAATGTAAGCCTTATTAAGATGAGTGATTCAAACCTTTATAAACTGGTCCATGTTTTTATGTTTATTCGATGTGAGATTTTATCTCTTAACATGGTCCTCTTTTGTACTTTTCATGAATTTTTTTGGCCGTTTTTTACTTAATTTTATTAATAGCCTTCTATCATTGAATTTATCCTACATTGACAATTGATATTTAACCAAATTAAATAGTAATCCCATCAACTGATTTTCAATTCACTTTTGACTAATCGGATAAGTGTAAAAATCACACTTACCATACACAACTAAAGTAATTTCCATTAATAACAATTGATTATTTTAAAAGGGGTTTAAAAGGATTAACATGTATTTTAAAATTAAAAAAAATTCAAATTCTTTTATGTCCAATGGATTTTTCATAAAAGAGCTCCTTAAATTTTGAAATCTTAGTGACTGCAAGAAATTACCAATATTGTAAACAGCTTAACCCAGACTATTGAATCATATGCATGTCAACTAATATAAGATAAAGAGATTTTTATTTTTTTGGAATTATTGGTGCTAGGCTAATCTAAAATTATTTGCGCCCATAGTTTTTCCATTAAAATGAATAGTATAAGATTATATTATGTCATTTAATATTGTCGTCTTATAGATAAGTAAATTTTATTTAATTAGAATTTAAAATGTAATTAAATTTTGAGATTACACAAATTACAACTTTTCCATCAGCGCCTCGCGCCCGTTGTCATTTTGGCTATAATAATAATAATAATAAATTTTGAAAAGTTTGGAAGGAATTGAAAAGAAGAAGGAAATTGTAGCATCCTCAACAACCAACTAAATGTATTTGCATTATATTGCATGTTGAAACTAATGCTGAATATCGAAGCAATCTAAGTTCCTTCTGATTCCATTAATGACGACAAGTCATGAGTGATATTGTTCCTTTTCCGTTGTTTGGTAAGTCTATTTTTTTTTAATAATGTGTCCACCATTACGATGCAAAAGAAGATCACATTTTATTTCTTGTAAAGTGGATACTCTCAAATTAGCATTTCTCGACCCACTTTGGGTGTATTTCTTCTTTTGAATCCTTCGCTTACTTTTATTTTAACCGGAGAAACAAGTGTTTCAATCTTACATAGACGTTATAATTGACAGTATCTAGCGTGTCTTACTCTCTTCACTTAAGTCGTTGCTACAAAATTTAAAAATACACGCCACCCGATGCAAGCAACGATTATATTTAAATTTTAGGTCTTTTATTAATTTGATTAGAAAATAAAGACTTGATGGCAATTTTTTTTAAAAATTATTTCTATCCAAATCAATATTAATATCGTGTTCAATGATCTTTTGATATCGTGTTTGTATTCAATTTTACGCTTTTGTTTCGTCATAATTGTTCTTCAATCATTTGATTATTTATGGTTTGATCTTCAAATTCCTAAAGCTTCAAATAATTGGTGTTGCACAGCCTCCCAAAGAGAGAAAATAATCAAGAAAGCATCACATTAACCCCAAATGAGTAAGTATTAAAAGTTAATTGCAGAAACAACACATATATATGGTAGCCATTAAAGTAGGCCAACACTTGAATTTGAGGGTGAAGTGCAATAATGACTTCAATTATACATTAGATTGTTGATTTGGAAGATTGCTTCATTGGCAAACATCATAACAAATTCATTGAACTGAAACTCTCTCTCTCTCTCTCTCTCTCTCTCTCACACACACTGTTTCTTTTGCTTTCAATACCTAATCGTGGGTCGTCCTGAATTTCGCCATTACATATTCACGAAGAGAAAATCCCACTAAAATCTTGCAAATCAATGTCAGTTACATGAAAAATCAAAGGAAAACTCAGTTAAATGTAAACTTGATCTTGCATGCTGATTGGGGAATGGAATATTAAATTTGTAGAAAAGAAAAAAGGGCAAATTAAGAAAACTTCGAAGCTACTCATAATCTCAACATTTGGAAAAACTCATATACAATCTATACAGCTGTATGCTTTCGTATTCTTCGGCCACACCAATTTGTCCTTGGCTGCTAAGACGGAGAAAAACCCAATCATCAAGGCCACATGTCAAGGAATCCATCATTGATTCTCCTTATTTCAATGGTTGTTAGAGGAAAAAGATCTGTTACATGTCTGCATCTATAGCTGGCCGACAGAGATATATTATAACCGTGTGTGTTTTAAGTGTAAAACTTCACACAAGTTTATGTGTAAAATAATAGAGGCAAGGCTTTGTTTGCCTTGGGGCAGCCATAATGGTTAAGATTAAGAACTATATAGAGT